GGCTATGTTATGATAAATCTTTCTGCCAAAAGCCGCCTGAGCCCCACCGCCACTACAGTATCATGGCCTTATTGCGGTTACTCTAGCGTGCATGGCATGGTTTTCTAACAACCACTGAATGCAGGGCACACACACTTTACATTCATGTAATTGTCCAAAACCTTTGTGATACATTTAAAGCTAGCCTAGTAGGGTGCCTGCTTGCCCTGTTTTTTTTTTTTTAATTTAGAGAATACTTTATTAGTTTTTGTAATCAAACCCACGTAGATAAGACCTTACATATTTAATACAGTGCGTTACCCTGTACAAATGGAAAAAAATTGAGTTCAATATTTCTAGACCAATATGGTTGTTAAGTTCTGTACAATGCCAACTCGACACAGTAAACTGGGATACTTTTTTCCAAAGTTAACAGCTCAGCTAAAATTTCCAAAAATTCAAATTATATATGTGTGTATATATATATATATATGTATATATATATATGTATATATATATATGTATATATACCAATAATGGCAGTATGTTATGCATCAATAGCAGCAACAGCTTTTCCTGGTTCTGCAGTCATTTGAACAAAATTGTAGAGACATCCAGCACTCTCCATTTAAAAAAACAAAAAACAAAAAAAGTAAAAAACAAAACAAAATCCCAGAAAACAGCACAGTTCTGTTACTCGTGTGGTACCTGGCACCCTGTGTGTTGTTTAACATTTCACCCAGTCTAGTTGGCATAAAAAAGGAGTCCCTCCTTAGTGATCTAAATTCCCATTTCTAGGGTCACTCTTGAGCTTCAGTGTCTTTGTTTGTTTTTTGGTCTTCAAGACAGAGTTTCTCTGTGTAGCCCTGGCCACCCTGGCATTCACTTTGTAGGCAGAGCTGGCCTCAAACTCAAGAGATCTTCCTGCCTTGGCCTCCCAAATGCTGGGATTAAAGGCGTGCACCACCACCCGGCTGTCTTTATGTGTTTTATTGTGTCCTCCTTGCCTTGTCAATTGGGGATGAATGCTGTGTTCATTAAACTTTGGGACCCGTGACATGTACAGGAGGAAGCCTTTCTATATTTGTCCCAGGGTGGAGTGTGGGAGGCAGTGGGAGATGCTTATTTTGGAGATCCACAGCCACTGGAAACTTGTCTCCTCAGCTCCCATCCTTCCAGCCTGGCCTACTCTGGAATCTGTACATCTGGATGAAGAACATCCAGGAGCAAAGATTGAAGAGGCTAACTCTGCCACAGCTGAGCCAGAGGTAGGTAAAGGAGTCACTGCCAGGCCTGGG